GATGGTCCAGCCAGTACTACAATCCGTCGGTCCACAAATGCAAGCAGTCGAACCCAGGATAGCACAGTTGAACTATCACGCACCTATGCGTGAAATGCAAGGAGAAAACTTGATACAAGATCAACCCCCGCCCCCAGGAGTTCGTTTCGGAATGCCTCTTCACACTTTTGCCCCACCAGTCATTCCCATCCCACGAGCCCATCGTCCACTACCAGCCCAAAGTCTACCAGTAGCCATGCAAAACGATTACCGACCACCGATGGTCACCCCGTTCCCTATGGGACCATACGCCCCTTTCCCTCAGCTTTACCCAACTGGTTTTCCTTTCCATGGTTACGCTGCCCAACCCCAGAATCCGGCCGTTCCACTGCACCAAGTGTCCTATCAAAACCAGGGTCAACAACTGTATGCCGCCTAACAGCCTTTCAATCACGCCCCAGCCCTCTCCTACTCCGTTGAAGCCCCTCAACCGCAAATGGACCGGCCCCCCCGAAACAACAACCTACGAGTCACGCCAGCTCATACGTCAGGGCGTAACAAACCCCTGACTGATATCCTCCGGTTAACTCCCATACCCCTTGGTTTCAAAGGACCCTCCAATATCACCACATATGTCGGAGATGCCGATCCTTTTGAATGGATCCAGAAGTTTGAGGCGGCCATGACTCTCCATGGTGAAACCGACTTCCTCATGTGCAGGACCTTCCCCACGCTACTTGGGGGGCGAGCCTTTACATGGTACACCACTCTACCGACTGGTAGTATCGCTTCATGGGATGAGTTGGCGAGCAAGTTTCAGTCTCACTTTGCAACCAGTCGCCCTGTGCCGAAATCTGTCCACTCTCTAGAAAAAGTACGCCAACAGCAAGGCGAGTCCCTCAGGTCCTTTTTAGACCGCTTTGATAAGGAGGCCCTACAAGTGCAAGGCCTGGACCCAAAAGTACAGGTACATATACTTCTTTCGGGTTTGTGGCAGGGTGCGTTCGCGTACGAGCTCGCCCGCCACGAGATCACTGACCTGGAAGAAGTCAAGAGGGTGGCCCAGGAGTACATGCGAATCGAAGAGTACAAAGGAAGTCGAGTCGATGACGCCCACGGTCAAGAAAAGGCACTCAGTAAACAAAAGAGCCAAATGGAAGAAAGTAAGAAAGGAAACAAACCAGCCAAATATTCAAACCGCCCTTCCGGGTGTGATACATCAGGTCTCCAGACACACGCCGTCCTACAAACGGAGTATAAGGAAGAATCCAAGAACACCCAACAGTCTCACAACCCGCCTAAAGAAAACATCATGTACTGCAAGTTCCATCGTAGCAACGGTCATAACACTGAGCAGTGCAGGCACCTCAAAGACGAAATCGATGAACTCATCAAAAGCGGAGTGCAGAGGCGAGGAGGAGATGGCTCACGCCCTTCGGGAGCAGGGAAGCGATATCGGGAGCGCAGCAAATCGCCTGAAAGAAGGAGAACGCGTCAATCTGGATCCAGACCCTCCTACAATCGTGACAGGAGAGAAGATTCCCCCAGGAATCACAGAGCGCAAGCAAGTCCAAACCGCAGAGGAAGGCGTGAAAAAGTAGACGAAGATTCAGCCGCGATGAAGCACAGAGTGATAAACATGATTTCAGGCGGACTGAGCGGAGGAGGAGAGACTGCGAACGTTAGAAAGAAACACTTGAAGCAGTGTCTGGCGGTCGCTGGCAAAGTGATCAGCAAAGCAAAGCACAGTCCTGGTCCAACAATGCCTCAAATTGTTTGGGACGCCAGCGATTTAGGCGATGTCCTCCCAGGACATGACGATACGCTCGTCATTCAAGCTATAATCTCCAACTTCGGCGTTAATCGCGTTTTTATTGACCACGGCAGCTCAGCCGACATTTTTTTTTACCATGCTTTAAAGCGTTAGGGTTCACTGTTGATAGTTTAACTCCTGTTACAGGTGAACTCTCAGGTTTCAATGCTACCACCACAAAGCCACTGGGAGTGATTACCTTGCGGCTTTCCCTTGGAACACCACCCACCTCACGATCCGCAGACATCCAGTTTTTGGTGCTCGACACACCATCAGCTTACAACGCCATTCTTGGTAGAAGGATGTTTGCTGCCTTTGAGACAAGCATTTCACACCCCCAGTTGGCAATGAAGTTTGTTGCCCGAGACAACAAAGTTTTCACAGTGCGAGGAGACCAGACGATAGCCCGAAGCTGCTACAACATATTCTTACGGCCAATGGCCAAAGCTATTTTCAACGATGAAAGGGCGCTCAAGCAGGGGATGACCTCGCCAGCAGAAAGAAATCCAGGCGAGAAGACAAAGGAGCGTGACCAATGTTTTTTGGTAGAATTTGATGCCAGAGACAATCCGCGCGTGGAACATGACAGACCCACGCCTGATGGAGCATTGGAACATGTTGTCTTAGGAGATGCGGATCATCAAACAACAACCATCGGGGCCACCATCGACCCAGAGATGAAATGCAAGTTAATCAAGTTGCTCAAGGAAAACAAAGATTTGTTTGCATGGAAGCCTTCTGACATGCTGGGTATCAATCCAGACGTTTGCTGCCACCGTTTGTCGGTGGATCCCAAAGCCAAGCCAGTCGCCCAGAAAAAGAGGAAATTTGGTCCCGAGCGCCAGAGGGTGATTGATGAAGAAGTCAAAAGGCTCCACGCCGCCGGGTTCATCAGGGAAATCAAGTACACAACTTGGTTATCCAACCCAGTATTGGTTAAAAATCCAAACGGCGCATGGCGAATGTGCGTTGACTACACCGACCTAAACAAAGTCTGTCCAAAGGATGCTTACCCTTTTCCTAACATTAATCAGTTGGTTGACAACGCGTCCGGATTCAAAATGCTGTCGTTCATGGACGCATACTCTGGTTATAATCAGATTCCACTTCTTGAAGAAGACCAAGACAAAACGGCGTTCATCACTCAGAACACCAATTACTGTTATACAATGATGCCCTTCGGTCTAAAAAATGCTGGGGCCACTTACCAAAGGATGATGAATGAAGTATTCAGAGACCTGATTGGAAATTGCATCGAAGTATACATCGATGACATGATCGCTAAATCAAGAACGTCGGAACAACATTTGGTTGATCTATAAGGTGTTTTTGAAAGACTCAGAAAATTCAAATGCGCTTGAATCCAAGCAAATGCGCCTTCGGAGTTCCCGCGGGCAAATTCCTAGGCTTTATGCTCACTGAGAGAGGCATTGAGGTCAATCCTGATAAGTGCAAGGCGGTGATTGAAATGCGAAGCCCGCAAACAATCAAGGAAGTTCAGCAACTCACAGGAAGGTTAGTAGCTCTCACTCGTTTTTTGGCCAATTCGGCTCACAAATCGCTCCCTCTTTTTGGCTTACTCAAAAAAGGAACCGCCTTTCGGTGGTCGGAAGAATGTGAGAACGCCTTCCAGGAATTCAAAGGGGCGCTCTCTTGCCCACCAGTGCTCGCCAAACCAGATGATGGAGAAATGCTTTATTTGTATCTTGCCGTAGGTACCGAGGCGATCAGTGCAGCCCTTGTCAAAGAATCAAAGGAAGGACAAAAGCTAGTATATTTCATCAGCAAGGTTCTACAAGGAGCAGAGCTTCGATACCAACAGGTGGAAAAGGTAGCTTTAACGCTTATCTTTGACGCACGGCGTTTAAGACCGTACTTCCAATGCCATCCAATCACCGTCAGGACCAACCAACCAATTCGCCAAGTCCTGTACAAGCCAGACTTGGCTGGAAGAATGATGTCATGGGCGATCGAGTTGTCCGAGTATCAGATCATCTATGAGCCTAGAACTGCCATCAAAGCTCAAGCACTCACTGACTTCATTGCAGAAATGACGCAACTTTCCCCACCCAAGAACCAAGCCATGGGAACACCGATATCAGAAGTGAGGAAACTATACGTAGATGGCTCGTCAAATGCCAAAGGCTCCGGTGCTGGGATGATAATAGAAAATCCGGATGGCGTGGCTATCGAACATTCTTTATCGTTTGAATTCAACACCACAAATAACCAAGCAGAATATGAGGCCATGATAGCTGGTCTGATCCAAGCAAAGGAAATGGGGGCCAACCGCCTCAAAGTCTTTAGCGACTCCCAGCTGGTGACATTTCAGATCTCCGGCGAGTACCAGGCCAAAGGACCACTGATGTGAAAATACTTAGAAAAAGTCAGAGAGCTAATCGAAAGTTTTGAGAGTGTTGAGGTGGAACATATCCGGCGTACTGAAAATACCCGGGCAGACATTCTGTCCAAACTGGAAAGCACTAAAAGCCCAGGCAACAACTGTTCTATAGTCCAGCAAAGTATGCCAAATCCGTGCGTGGTCATGTGTATCTCAGAGCAAGCCCCTGGAGCCACTGAAGAAACCTGGATCACGCCCATTGTCAATTATTTAGCTGAAGGGGACGTACCTCCCAACCAAAAAGATGCTAGAAAGATAATTCGTAGAAGCGCTCACTTCTGCATAGTACAAGGGTGGTTGTACAAGCGAGGACTCTCAACCCCACTCCTGAAATGTTTGAATCCCACTGATGTTCCATGCGTGTTAGAAGAAATCCATGAAGGAATCAACGGCCATCACATGGGCGGTCACTCACTAGCAAAGAAGGCGTTGAGAGCTGGATTTTATTGGCCAACTATGGAACGTGACGCCCACGAACACGTCAAAAAATGCGAAAAATGTCAGAGGTTCACCGACATACATAGAGCGCCGCCAGAAGAGTTAACATCAATCACCACACCATGGCCTTTCTACAAATGGGGCATCGACATTCTGGGTCCTTTCCCTATGGCAGCTGGGCGAGTTCAGTGGCTGATGGTCGCTATGGACTATTTTACCAAGTGGGTATAAGCAGAACCCTTGGCAACTATAACCTCTCAAAAAGCAAGACGGTTCTTCTGGAGAAGCATCGTTTACCGTTTTGGCATTCCCGGGGAAGTTATCACGGATAACGGTACTCAATTTACCGATGCCAAGTTTCGCGAATTAATGAGCAGCCTGCACATACGACACCACTTTGCTGCCGTAGAACACCCACAATCCAACGGTTTGGTTGAATCAGCCAATAAAATGCTGGGGAAAGGAATTAAAAAGAAGCTTGAAGCACACAAAGGGGCATGGATTGACAATGTTGACAACGTCCTGTGGGGGTACAGGACAACCGCCCAGTCATCCACAAAAGAAACTCTGTTTAGGCTGACTTACGGCGCTGAAGCCATGATCCCAGTAGAAATCGGTGAACCCTCCTGGCGGCGAGAGCACGTAACCGAGATCGACAACACACAGAATTTGAAAGAAGCATTAGACCTGCTAGACGAACTCAGAAGGTCTGCCGCCGAGTCTGATCTCCATTCTAAAGAAAAATCAGCTACTTACTACAATAAGAAGGTAATCACCAGGAGTTTCCAAGAAAAAGATTTGGTGCTTCGAAGAGTAGACGTTGGAAATAAAAACGCTCGCGAAGGAAAGCTCGCCCTTGGTAGCGCCTTTCCTTCTAGTGTATTATAGTTAAGTTATCATGTAACAACTCCT